GATAGATAGATAGATAGATAGATAGATAGATAGATAGATAGATAGATGGAAGATAGATCGATAAAAGAACAAACACTTAGTAAATGCTATGTTCCACACTATACTAAACTAAGCACTGGGGATAAAAATATAAACAAGCAAGAAGGTCCCTGCCCTCAAGGAGCTTACATTTTAATTAGGGAGACAACAGGTAAAGGAGTACTAGAATTTGGAGGAAGGGAAAAGTGAATGTGGGGACAAGATGAGACTTCAAGAAGTGGTGTGGAGGCCAGGGCCCTGGCAAGATAAGGCAAACCACTCATTGACTTGAGCCAAGGGTGCCTGGTGTCTGTTGGAGCGGACATTATCAGAGAGTATGGCCATATCTTGGAGATGTTGGGAAATGTCGTGTTGATGAATTTATGGCGATGAAGTGATAAGTGAAATTGAGAATGTTGAGATGAGAATGTACTATGACTTTAACAGAAAAAAAGTTGAAGTTGTCTAAGGAAATTTCCTTTTCTCCCAGAAAACATACAGAGACTTCCGGTTACAAGGTGTGTTGGAGGGAACACTAAACAGTAAAACCTATGAAGCTCTTCACAGCCGCTTAACTGTGGAGGAGGCCACAGCCTCTGTTTCTGATGGAGGAGGACTTCAGGGCATTACAATGAAAGACAGCGATGAGGAAGAAGAAGAAGAAGGATGAGAGCAAGTAGATTCTCTATTAGTGACTTGACATTGTTAATTTTGTAACTTGTCCTAGTAATTAAAGTTAGGGATTTGACCACATATAAATAATTGTATTTCATTCCACTGTTTAAAAAAAATATTTATAGAAACAGGGTTAAAAAGAAAAAAATGCCAAGATTTTTGGGAGGGTAGGATTATCTTCTTCCTATCCAGTTTGACACAGAGCTGAGTTTTGCTCTCATTTGTGACCGAGATATGTACCTTTCATTTCTTGAATTTAACATTTATTTCTCTACATCCAGTGAAGTATGTCTGCATAAAGCAAAAATATGTACCTCAAATTGTGACCAGAAGTCATTCATCACTGTGCCAATTATTCAGTGCCCTTGTTAAAAGATGGTGTACTTTCAGATTTATAATTTATATGTAAGTTTCCTGTTATGTAGTTAATTTACCATGTTGTGATATGTACTCAATGTTAACCCAGGCTCTTAGTGCTCTCAATTGATATACAGCTATCTTTAGTGGACTAAAAGGACTGCTAAACACACCTACAGTTTAGACTACTTCATGGCCTTGTGTCTTATCCAATTCTGTACATTCATCTTTGCAAGTTTAAGGGATTCCAGGGTGTGAAATAGGGGAGCTGTCATCAACACATCAAACTTCTCTTTCTTTGTGTAACAGCAGGAGCTTGCAGGCAATAAGTCATAAAATGTATCATGAGTACTTCTGTATTTATCAAACTTTGTATAGATTAAAAAAGAATTAAAAGATGTTTTCAATATTTCAAACATCCCAGTCATCTAATGTGCTTTTGACTCAAATTAGGAATGGCATTAGCAATTTGAATGAATGAATGTATTTGACATATTTTTGTAGCAAGAAAAAGTTTATTAAACACTTATGTGAGATCTTAAATTACCTTATTTATCTCTATTCTGAAATTTTTTCTTCTATAGCCCTGAACACAAGGTGTCCCAAAAGTCTTAGTGCAGATTTAAACCGACTTTTGGGACACCCTGTATATAGATAATCATAGAATTTTATAACTTGGAGATTATTTAGTTCAGTTATTTTACAAATGAGGAAACTGAGGCCAACAGTTATGATGGGGGGTATGGGTTGGAGCCAACTGGAATTACTTTGGGGGAGACCCAATTGTTAAATTTTTAGTATTAAGATTTACACATCAGAAATCAACAAATCAAGACTTGATCTAAGCATTATTGTTTTGTTAACGATGCAGATAAACTTACAAATGTGTCCTTATGCTATTTTTTTTTTTAAGTATTGAGAGATTGTTGTTAAACATTCACCAGTACAACACTGGTTACAAGGCTTGGATTAGAAGCCAGGTCTCCTGAGTTTTGTAGTTGTTTTGTTTTTTTTTTTCAGTCAATCTCACTGTACTCTGACTCATGTGTTCAAGTGTGTAGCAAAAGGGGACAACAGGTCATATGTGCATTCTGTCTTACCTTTGACAAATCACTCAATCTCGATGAGTCTATAAAGTGAACATCTTTTTAAAAAAAAATGATATTGAATGAGGTGTTCTCTAAAATGCCTTCTAACTTGCCCATGTTGATGAAAGAGTAGGGGTTAATAAATATAGTGCCTAATAATTTATTAAGAAAAGAAAAAAAAAAGAAGAGGATCACAAATATAGAATTGGGTGAGACTTTCCTTGATAATCTAATCAAACCCTCTCTTTTTACAAATAAGGAAACTGAGGCCCAGGAAAGTTAAGTGACTTGACCAAGGTCTCCCAGACCTTGTGTTAGACCAAAGCCTAAGCAGAACTTGAATCTAGGTGTCCAGACACCAAATCTAGAACTCTTTTCACTGCCCCCCTTTTCACATTTAGGTGAAGAAGGAGAAAATAGCCTAGCTACATGCTGGTATCATAAATGAGTGGGTTTGTTTAAATGACAAAATAGGGAGAGAGAAAAGGGGAGCAGAATGGGCTTTGTAAAGAAAAAATAATATTAATGCCTATTCAGGAGAGAAGAAAGAAACATAAAGGGCCTAATGTAAAGTTGTGCGGATCCAGCTGTGGCTTACATTCTGCCTTCAAGGATTTTTCCTCTTGAAGTCCGAGTAGTTTTCTTTCCCTACCCCTGATAAGGCAGGAAAGGAGATCTCCTGATGCTAGTGGGGTGAATGTTTCATATTAAAAGACTTTTCTTCCAAGACTTATGAAGGGAGGGGCGGGGGAGGAGGGAAGAAAAAGGGAGAAAAGGGGAAGGGAAAAGGTGGTGTCAGAGGGCCAAGTGGGAAAAGGGTTTATAGCTTCTTCTCAAACCGGAGGGGAAGGAACAGGAGTGGGGAGAGGAGAAAGTCCTAAATCCCTGCTTCTCCAGTTCCCTTTTTGTTCTCTGGTACTCACAAGGATTTGTGAACACCTTAGCGTGGTCTATGAAAAGTAACAAAAATCACTCTCTAGTATGCTATTGAAATGAAAGAAATCTGCTGAAGGCTCCAACTCCAGTACATCTCGGGTGGGACTGGTGACCTCGCTGCCTAACTCCCTGGGGTCCCCAGTGGAGTGCTCACACTCTGCGTCCTACCCTCCCTCTGCGTCTGGGACGATGGAGAGCGCTCCGCGAGATGCATTAGGCCAGCTTGGCCTCACCCGTTCCTGTAAAGACCAGCCAAGACACGTAGGGCCTGAATGGGACTTCAGGAACTTGTATTACGAAGAAGATTAAGAGGGAGCGGCGTAAGGGAAATAGGGAGAGTTTCTTTTTGTTAAACATTTCCCACTTCTCTGCTTATTGAATGGTCTGGCAAGATTGATATCCCTAAAAGACATTTGCCCATCCCTGACTTAGGGCTGAATGTCCCTGAGACCATTTACAAAGACTCCAAAGTGGTACTCCAAAAGAAGCCCTCAGTTACCTACCTTAACACTGCACCCCCTTTCCCTCTGCCCTTTGCACTATACCCTGAAGAACTCGTAGTACAGGGAATCTTACAGCATGGAGATTTGAAGAATGTGTAAAGTGAGCATGGGACCCACCTTAAAGGGCTGAATTTGAGTGAGAGGAATAAATCATAAGATGTTAGAAGCTGCATTTGAGCCGTTTTACGTGTAGTGACACACAGACAAGTGAAGTTACTAGCCCTTTCCCAGGAACTTTTAAACTTTAAATAAAAAATAAAAATTGCAGAATTTCTCCCTCCCTCACGCCGGAAGCACGCTCAAAGTTACAAAATTACTTAATTCAACAAACATTTTTTAAGCTCTTATGGTGCTAAACACTCCAATAAGGGCAGGGGTTTTGAAAATTGTCCCTGGCCTCAAGGAACTTAGTCTGATAGGGGGATATAGCACCTCCACTTTTTCTTTTACTTAACAGTAATTTCATAGGTGGGAGTATTCACCCATCACCATACAGTCCAACACTCCAGGCCTTTCCTGCTTGATAGGCCCTGCAAGAGCTTATGCTTAGAGGGCATGACCTTGAAGAACCTAGCACCTCCACACCAGATGAAGCACTGGAGAAAGATTTCAGTAGATAGCTACACTACCGTGTAATGCAGGACAAGGGAGATTCAAACCAGGTGCCAAATGAGGCAGGCAGCCTAGGGTAAACAATCGAGCCCTGGAGTCAGGAAAACCTATTTTCAAATCTTGTCTTAGACTTCTTCCAGCTGTGTGACTCTAGATAAATCATTCAAATTCAGTCTCAGTTTCCTCAGCTGTAAAAAATAGGGATGAGAATGATAGTACCTGCCTCAGAAGGTTGTTGTGAAGATAAAATGAAATGATACGGATGGAAAAGGGTTTTGCAAACACTAAAATGCTGATAGGCACAGATCGTTAGACATTTCATTGAAGATGTGAGGCATTTCAATTGAACTGAAAGGAGCAGAAGTAGTGCAGCAAGAAGAAGAGTGGGGGAAGGCACTCCAAAGAGAGAATAATTTGAGCATAAGCCTACAGGTAGGAAAAAGAAAAGCACACGCTCAGGACCAAGAGGAGTCCAGTGTGCCTGGAGCATGGTTAGTGACCTTACTCCCAGACCATTAGTCCATTAGACTGCAAAGAACTTCTATTCCCCTTGAGCTGGGAAATGGGACTGGGGGGTGTGGAAGAATGTCATTTTCTTTTTCCAATTAAAGTCCTTCTTGAGTACCATTTAAAGGTCCCTGGGAAAGGCACTGGTAACTCCAAAGTGCTTAACTTCTCCCAATGGACTTGAATTTCCTGCCCCAGATTCTACACTGGGCATGGGGAGGAAAGGAAGTCTGAGCTGGTAAAGGAGACTCGGAATTAGAGCCTTAAAGCTAAGAAATGTCCAGTAGAGGGGAATGACCTTAGCCCCACTGAATGTATCTTGTGAGACAGTCAGTAGTAAACCCACAGTTGGTCTGTGGGAATAATCCTTGGCATCCCACCAAGGGTCCTGGTTTATTTCCTAACCCCAGAGCCTAGAGCAAGGGTAAAGATGATAAATCTAGAGCAGGATGAGATCTCAGAGACCATGAAGTACAACCCCCTCATTTTACAGATAAGGAAAAAGGAGGACCATCATTAAGATAAAATAACTTGCAAAGTCATAGAAGTAGTAAGAATCAAAGACAGGATTTGAATCTAAGTCATCTGATTTCAGAACCAGTGCCTTTTTTTTTCTCTTACCAGGATGCCTAGTAAGAAGTCTGTAACTGATCTAATAGCCCCTGTCTATTTAGAGCATCAAGGTGGTTCAGTGCCACGCCTGGAGCCAGGAAGATCTGAGTTCAAATCTAGCCTCAGCTACTGACTAGGTGTGTCACTGGGCAAGTCGATTAACCCTGTTTGCCTCAGTTTTCTCACCTGTGAAATGAGCTGGAGAAGAAAATGGCAAATCACTTCAGTATTTTTGCCAAGAAAACCCCAAATGGGATCATGAAGAGTCAGACAACACTGAAACAACTCAACAACTGTTATTTATTTTCTTGGACCCTCCTAAAAATCATTCTAAGGTTAAGTGCATTTTATCGGTTGCAAAGCATCAAAAACAACTTTTGGTGGGATGGATTTTAGCTCTAGACACTCCCTACACACGTGCGCACACACACACACACACTCACACACATATACACACTCACGTACACACACACAAACACATATACATATATATAAAATATATATGGGTGGGGTGAGTGTGTATGTATATATGTGTGTATAAGTGTATATATATATATATATATACACATACACATGTATACATACATACATACATACCTATCCATGCTCAGTATCCACTGCATCTTGGCTTGTCTTTCTAAGGTCCTCCATAGAGAGTCTATCCAAAAGAATGGAATTTCTTGAGTATCAGGGCCACACAGGCTGTCTGTTTATCCGTTATCCACCCCATCCCTCTCCCTAGCCCAGCTCCTTTTCTGTTCTTACAAGTCCCTGACTTTTGTGCAAGTGATGAATGCTAACATATCTTCAGCCAACTTAGATGCACCATGAATATTTCTTTTGATGAAAAGGGAATCAACTGGCTTGTTCAGTTGATTTTATATGAGAAACCATGTGTTTCCAGAAGTAAAATGGACTGAGAGGTCTAGAGAATATATTATAATAACAATAACAACCAACACATCTATTTCTTTAAGATTTGCTAAACACTTTAGTCACAGTCAATAAATATTTATTTATCACCTATTAGATGCCAGACACTGCTAAGTACTAGAGTTACAAAGAAAGGCAAAAGACAATTCCTGGTTCTCAAGGAATTCGCAATCTGATGGGGAAGATATAACAGCAACAGTGTACAAGCAAGATATATATAGGATAAACTGAAAACTGAAAACAAACAGAGGGAAGGTACTAGTGTTAACAGGGACCAAAAAAGGCTTCTTGTAGAAGGTAGGACTTTAGCTTGAAGGAAGCCAAGAGGCAGACACG